CCCCCCCCCATAGTGGCTGGTGGGTTTGAACTGCCAACCTCACAGCAGCCCAATGCTTCACCTAAGCTCAGTCATGACTTGAGTGCATGAGGCTTAAAACAAAACAAAACAAAAGATTCATCCTTACTGGTACCACTGCTCAGTTTCTGCCTGAGCAAGTTGTCGACACTTGTGACTGCCTGCCTGACACTATCGGCTGTTATTGGCTGCCCCTTTTCTTCAGGAGCGTATTTCTTCACTGTATTTATTGTCCCATCACTGGAATGTAGGCAGAGAAAGGTGAACATTCTCCTAGGGAATAAAAATCGCAACTTTAGTTTTTCTTTACTGCAGGTAGACTTTCCCCTGCACATCCGAACACCCTGGACTGCTCATTTTTGACCTCTGTTTTGTCTGAATATAGCCAATTATATGAAGTGTGACAGCGCTTCAAAATCAAGAAATAGAAGTAAAGCGATTCACAGGCTCCATGGATAGCAGCAAATGTATTTGCTTTCTGCTTTGTGTCTCAGTAGAAAAAAGCTCAATTATCCACAGCGCCTTGAACTAGCTTCCTGCCAACCTCTTAAGTAGAAATCGAAGGAGGGAGCGCCTGCCCTCCATGTATGATGTAAATGGGGCCTCCAGACGGTTCTAAGGATTCTGCATTCCGTTCCAGATGATTTCCTAAAAAGAATTGGTGTGCTCCCGTTGCATTTGCCGCAGCAACAAGTACGGCTGCGTGGGAACCATCGGCATTTCCTCTGCTGGGGCACTTGCCTGCCAGTGCTTAGAAGGAGTGAGCCTGTCTGTGCCAGCTTCTGCCCATCAATGTTTGTCCTTGCTGACGCCGGGAGAATTCTAATGCGTCAGTCGTCTTAAGAATACTGTCTTATTCATGTCCTAGATAGGACATCAGCCCCCACCCCACCCAAAATGATTTTAATTTCTCGGTGAAAAAAAAAAGGGGGTGGAGGAAGACATTGTTCTGGGTCCCGTCTTGTGGGGTAGGAGTGGGGGAGTGAGGGCATGTGAGAAGTTTGGGGTGGTGGGTGGTCCTGCCTTTGGCATTTGAAGACCGAGATGAACTTCTTTCAGCCTCTTCATGAGAAGAAGCCTCAGGGAAATGAATAATTTGCACCCGAATATTCGGAAATGCTCAGCTGGCATGTTGATTTCTCAGCTGAGGCTAGGGACCCAAAGGGACTGGATGGGTCCATTTAAGGGAGAGAAGCCCATGGAGATCCGGGCATATTTCGGGTCCTCTTGAATCTGTAGGCCCCTGATTCTGCAGCTGCTTGAGAGCTTGAGCCTGTTCTAGCACCAGCCAGGCCTAGGAGTAGACCTGCGATCCTCTGATTTCCTTGTGTCACGTGCGAGTCATTGGTCCTCCCACAGAGGAGCTGGGTGTGTTCTTCACCACTGCTGTTATGACTGGATCCCTTCGGTGTGCTAGGTGCTTGCTGGTGGTGCTAGGTGCCATCAAGTTGGTCCCAACCCATAGCTACTCTGTGCACAGAACAACTAAACACTGCCGGGTCCTGGGCCATCCTCACCACTGTGCCTGTGCCGGAGTCCATTTGTGGCAACCCGCCGTGATCCATCTTGCTTTTTCACTGCCTCTCTCTTTGACTAAACGTGATGTCTCTCCTGACAACATGTCCAAAGTCTGTAAGATGAAGTTTCATCAGCCTTGCCCCCAAGGAACACTTCTTCCAAGACAGATGTGTTTGTCCTTTTGGCAGTCTCCAGGACTTTCAATGTTCTCCAGCACCACAATTCAATCTTCTTCAATGAATCAGTTCTTGATTGATTCACAAATCCATTCTCCTTCCATCTTCCTTATTCAGTGCCCAACTGTTACATGCCTATGAGGCGTGCCAGAAGCCTTTGCATGCTAAAGGCTTTGCATATATTCTAATACCCTAGTACAACCACCACCAGCACCATCATCATGCATTAATATTTATTCAATGCCTCGCATCTATCAGATGTGCTTCTAAGCATTATCATTTAATCCGCATACTGCCACTTTCAGGAAAGTATTAGGTTATTGCCCCTATGTTACAGACGAGGAGGCTGCAGCTCAGAAGGGTTAGTCCGCTTAAGGTTGTACATCCAGTTGGATGTGCAGCTGAGGTCTGGGTTGACACCATATTGCACTGCTGATCAGAACCGTTCTGTTAACACAGGAAGCCTTGGTGCTGTGGGCCAAATATGGGACTGCTAAGTACAAGCTTGGACGTTCAACCCCACCAGCTGCTTTGAGGGAGAAAGCTGAAGCTCTCTGCTCCCATAACGATTCACAACCTTAGACCCTAAGGACCAGTCCTCATGTCCTATATAGAGTTGCCTTGAGTCAGAATCTACTTGACGCTTCTAGACTTGGTTTATTCACTAAGCTGAATCCTGTAGTGACCCAGCTCATTTTTGCTCATGTACGCAAAAGAGGAATGGGGGAAGGAATGATGTTAGTATTTGTTACATCGTACCCTGCCTTTCTGAAGAGCTCCCGACGAGTAAGACTGGACAGGGCTCTTCCTGGGTGGGAAACACTACAACTCTCAGGCAGGTAGGTCATCCGCCTATGCTGAGGGAAGGAGGTCAGAGCTTTGCTTTTGTCTAGGTTATAATCTGCTTTCTTCAGTGGCATAGGGGACTACAGTATAATACCCGTGTTGTTGTTAGGTGCCATGATTTGGTACTGACTCATAATGATGCGATGTATAATAGACTGAGACACTGCCTGGTCCTGCGCCATTTTCACAGCTATTACTGTATTCAAGCCCATTACTACTGTGTCAATCCATCTCCTGGAGAGACGTCTTCTTTTTGCCCCATGGAACCTCTACTTCACCAAGCATATAATATTTGTTGTTGTTGTTGTTAGGTGCTATCGAGTTGGTTCCAACTCATAGGGAATGTATGCACAGCAGAATAAAACACTGCCCAGTCCTACTTCATCCTCACGATGATTCTTAAGCCAATTATTGTGGCCACCATGTCAATCCAACTGGCCGAGGACCTTCCTCTCCAGGGACCGGTTTCTCCTGACAGCATGTCCAAAGTCTGTGAGACAAAGTCTCACCAGCCTCACCTCTAGGGAGCATTCTGGCTGCACTTCGTCCAGATGTGTTTATTCTTTTTGGCAGTCCACGGTATTTTCAATATTCTTTACTAATAGCACAGTTCAAATGCCTTGATTCTTCTTTGGCTTTCCTTATTCAGTGTCCAATTTTCACATGCATAGGAGGTAATTGAAGATCCCATGTCTTGGGTCAGGGACACCTTAGTCCTCAAAGCAACATTCTTGCCTTCCAACACTTGAAAGAGGTCTTGTGCAGCAGATTTACCCAGTGCAAGGTGTCTTTTGAGTTTTTTTATTTCGTGACTGCTGTTTCCATGAACATGTGGATTCAAGCAAGATGAAACCCTTGACAACTTTAATCTCATCTCCCTTTATCATGACGTTACCTATTGGCTGAATTATGAGGCTTTTGTTTTCTTTCCGGATTGAGTTGTAATCCATAGGGAAGGCTGTGACCTTTGCTCTTCATTAGCAAGTGCTTCAAGTCCTCCTCACTTTCAACACGTTGTGTCATCTGCATCTTGCAGGTCGTTAATAAGCCTTCCTCCAAGATGATGCCACATTCTTCTTCATATAAGCCAGGTTCTCTGGTTATTTGGTCAGCCTCCAGATTGAATAAGTATGGTGAAAAGATACAAACCTGATGCACACCTTTTCTGATTTCAAACCATGCAGTGTTCCCCTGTCTGATCACACAAATGCCTTTTAATTCCCGTCCAGGTTCTGCATGAGCACACTGAAGTGTTCTGGGATTCCCCTTCTCCTCAAGGCCATCTATCGCTTGTTGCGATTGCACAGTTCAATGCCTTGGTATGGTCAATGAAACATAACATCTTTCTGGTACTCCCTGTTTTGAGCCGAGATCCACCTGGTACCAGGAGTGATATCCTCTGTTCTCTGCCCTCTTCTGAATCTTGCCTGAATCTTTGGCAGCGACCTGCCAATGCACTGCTGCAACTGTTGTTGGATTGTCTCCAGCATTTGCATGTCAGTTTGTCGGACTGTGGTAACTTGTGTGTCGCTGTGATGCTGAAAGCTAGGTCACTGATGTTTCAAATGCCATCAGGGTCCCCCCAAAGGGAACATACTTCAGCAGAGCTTCCAGACCAAGAATAGACCACAAAGAAGGAATAGGCTGTCCACTTCATAGGAATTAGCCACTGAAAACTAATGGACATTGTCCATAGTAAACAGTAAGGAAGACAGAATCTGGGTCTTCTAAGAATCCATTCATTCCAGCTTCATTTTACGAGTGGAAATCGGCACTACATGGGACTTGCACACTTCTGGGAAGTTTATTCTACGTGCTACTACCAAAACCCACTGGAGTCAATTCCTCTTCACAGTGATCCTCTAGAGCAAGTAGAACTTCTCCAGAGAACTCCCCAGGCTAAACGTTTTTTTGTGAAAAGGGGGCTGCCTCGTCTTTCTCTGAAGGAGTAATTGGTGGGTTCAAACCACTGACCTTTTAGTTAACAGTCCAACTCTTAACTACTGTGCCACCAGAGATCACCCCTGCCACTACAGACACGTGAAATCCTTCCCAGTGGCGTTTTCCTCCATGATATGTTATGTGGCATCTAGTCTGTTCTAACCCGTAGGGATTCTGCAAAAGGGACGAAAAGCTGCCTGGTCCTGGGCCACCCTCCCATCAGAGTCAAGTTTGAGCCTGCTGTTTCAGCCCCCAGGTCAGTCCAGCCGGTGGAGGGCATTTTTCTTTTTCTCTGACTGCCTTCTCCTACTCTGCTGATACCTGGTCCCAAAGTACACCGGACAGTCTTGTTCTCCTCACTTCTAAGGAGCATTCTGGCTGTACTTCTTCCGAGATTGATTTGCTTGTTCTCCAGGCAGTCCACGGTACAGTCAATATTCTTCACAAATACCATAGTTGGAAAGCATCAGCTCTTTTGTCTTCCTTAGCCATTGTTCATCCTCTGCTGCTAATAAAAACGGATGAAGGTGATGCTATACTGCCATCTTGTGGCGAATTGGATCCTTTTTCTAATGGACACCCTAACCATGTTCTTGCAGGACCCACATATTGGATACGAATAAAACTTAGTTTTTCAAAGATATTTTTCTATGCAAATAAATTAAATCAGTGTATATGTTTTTAATTTCAAATTCTTTACCATCCCGGATTTTATGAATAAGGAGAAAGACAATATAAATTAATAGTTGATCTTTTGTAATGACCTTTCATCTTTAAACCTGAATGATAATTTTAAGCTGACCCGGTAGCATAATGGATAGCTAACTCTAAGGCCAGCATTCGAAACCATCAGCTTCTCTGTGTGAGAAACATGAAACTTTCCACTCCTCTGAAGACTCATAGTCTCAGAATCCACAGGGGGAGTTCTTGGCTCCAATCATATGTAAATAATATGTAACACACACACACACATATCAATGGATTTGTAGGGAAAAGTCACCTGCCGGGAGAGTACAAAACTCAAAACCAAATCCACTGCCTTTGAGTCCATTCTGACTTAGAGTGGCCTTCAAGGACACGGAGAACTGCCCCCGTGGGTATCTGAGACTGGAACTCTCCACTGGAGTAGAAAGACTGCCTTTCTCCCGCAGAGCAGTTAGGGGCTTCAAACTGCTCACCCTGCGGTCAGGGGCAGGATCAGGACAGCCCCAAAGGCTGTGTTAGCTATATTTCTATAGACAGACCAATAACAATGATGATAATTTTCCACCTTCTGTTTCCCATTTTACCGTATAAGTAAAATCATGGTAATACCACCATTGATGGCGTGATTGAGCCCTGGGGTGGTGGTGGGGTGGTTAAGACAGGCAGTTTGAACGCCTTGATCACAGGGTAGGAGCACGGTGTGGCAGGCAGCTTCCATCAAGTTTCACTGCCTTGGGGACCCCAGGAGGCAGGTCTCCTCTGACCTATAGTGCTGCTGTGAGTCAGAATCAACTCCATGGCAATGAGTGAGTTTAATTTATTTTTCATGGCATGCTTACAGTGTGCCAGACGGCATCCTAACATATCACGTGCTTTGTCCCTCTCTCCCTTCCAGCACTGCTGGGAGGTGATAAAACACCCATTTTACAGAGGAGGGTATTGAGGTCCAGAAAGGTGACAGTCACACAGCTACTAGGTGGGAAAACCGGGACTGAAGCCTAGGTCTGCTGGGTTCCTCCTTGAACTGTTTGCATTACTACCACAGGCCCTACGCTACAAGTCTGTCCTTCTCCCTGCTCTCCTATTCTGGTTTATCTTTCGTATAATACAAACACCAGCTCCCTCCCCTGCAAAATTATGATTGTATTAATTAGTGTTAGCTCCTAGGCTGCTGTTGACTCCAAATAAATATGAATAACAATGAGCTGAGTTCATAGAGTGGCTTTGGAGCCAAGAAGAAAAGCATTCTAAAAGGACCAATTTGGGATTTTGAGACCTCTCCATTAATAACTATTGCTTATTAAATGATTTATTATTTTCTTGATTGATTTTTATTCTCTTTAGATTATTTTCCCTTCTTTCAAGTAGCTAGCACTCTGTGCCCACAAGTGATGATGTGCTGATATTGAATAACACCAGGATAATCGTTACTGGTAGCTATACACAGAAATTAGTTCAACAGTGCCTTTTCCTCCCCAGGCCTTAGAATACCTGCTGTGGGCCAGTATCTGCATGGAGTCCTCCGTGCCCCTGCTGTCCGTCAGGTACCTGAGCTGGAGAGCCACGCTCTACACCGCCGTGTGCCACTGCTACTTTGACTGCCAGTACGGGATTTATGGGGAGGTATGTCACATGCTTGTTCCCAGGAGGCCACTCTTTTACAATACAACTGGGTGAGCACATTCTCCTTCCCATGCCGAAGGGTGGGGGCCCGGGGGGCAGGGAGCAAGGAATCCAAGACAGAAATTCAGGGCCTTATTTGAAGAGCGCATCCAGAATCGACATTCTCCTTTATTAACTGTCACCTTCTTTGAGCCTTTGCTTTTCTGAATGGGCTTTCTCCTATCTTTCCTTCCTCTTTCTTCTTGCATGCAAGCCCCTGTCTTCTCTGTTTTGTCTTCCATACCTTCTGGTGTGTGTGTGTGTGTGTGTTTCCCTCTGCTTCCAGTCACATTTAATATATTCCACTTCATGTTTTTCTTATTTTCTTGTATATCTTTTGGACTAGATACCGGAAATGCAGCTAATTAATTCCTGTTGGTCTACAGTGCCTCTCTATACATTTAAAAGAGTAGTCTCTCTGTAGAGATGCGGACTACGTATATTACTTAGTTAGTGGCTAGGGCCTTAGGTAGAATAAGGAAGAAACTAATTTGGGGCCAGGAGGAATCCTGGTGGTTCAGTGGATACAAGGCTCAGCTGCTCACCAAAAGGTAATGGTTCAAACCCACCAGCTATCTTGTAGAAGACAGAATTGGTTGCCTGTTTTCATCGAGATTTATAGACTTGGGAAACTTCAGGGCAGCCTTACTCTATCCTATAGGGTTGTTAAATGAGTTGGAATCCATTTGTAAACAATGCGTTTTATTTTGGGGTTCTGGACCAACACAGCCTTATACCAGAGACTCATGGTTGGTGGGTGGTGTGCAGGCTGGATGTCAGCTCTCATTCAGCCCCGTGTGGGGAAGAATACGACCTTCACAACTCTACAAACATCTGTTCCTTTCTGGTTTGGACATTTTATAGACCATCTGGCCTGTTAATGGTAACTTTACATATTATTTTCCCTGTTCAAAGTAATTATGAAAGTTTCGATGGTAGTGACCCATATCCAGTACCACCAACTGGATTTTAACATGTAGCTACTGGATAGGACAAAGCAGAACTGCCCTTTGGGGGTTCCTAGACTTTAAATCTTTACAGGAGCTCCATAGGCAGGGTAAACGCTTAATTGAGCCCTTCTGAGATATCTTTTCTAGTTCAAGATACGTTCTAGAGTCTTCTGCCTTTCTAAACACACAGACACGTTTACACACGTACGTATGCACACATTATTAATTTCAGTGCACTGTTGTTGCTAGGTGCTGACAGTTGGTTCCCATTCACAGTGACTGTTCAAATGACCCCGTGTAGAGAGTGAAACAAAGCCTGGCCTTGCACGATCCTCATAGTCATTGCCATATCTGAGCCCTGTGTTGTTGCTGCCACTGTATTTGTCCGTCTTATTCAAGGACTTTGCCTTTTCTCTGACCCTCTATTTCACCGAGCATGATGTCTGTCTGCAATGACTCCTCCTTCTTGATCACGTGTCTACAGTACACGGACGAGGGCTGGCCATCCCTGCTCCTACGGAGCACGCTGGTCGGACCTCTTCCGAGCCAGATTTGCTCTTTCTTCTGGCTGTCCATGATGCGTTCGCTGTTCTTCCCCAGCATCCTGCATCCATTCTTCTGCAGTCTTCCTTCCAGCGCTCACGTGCCTGTGAGGTGATTAGCACGATCCTGCCTTGCCTCAGGTGCATCTTAGTTCTTAAGGTGACTTCTTTGCTTTTTAATACTTTTAAAGGTCTTTTGCAGCCGATTGGCCCTAGGCAGCCTATCCTTTGATTTCTTGACTGCTGCTTCCATGGGCATTGATTGTGGATTCAAGTAAAATGAAATCCATGGCAACTTTAGTCTTTTATCTTGATATTATTTATCGGTCCAGTTGTGAGAGTTGTTTTTTTTTTAAATGAACTGTAATTGATATTGAAGACCCTAGTCTTTGATTTCATCTGGAAGATCTCCCAGTCTTCCTCACTATTTGGAAGCAAACTTGTCTTGTCTGCCTGTTAGAGGTTGTCAATGTCCTCCTCTGATCCTTGTTCCTTGTTCTTCTCCAGATAGTCTCGTTTCTCAGGTTATTTGCCCAGAGTGCAGATTGAATAAGTATGGTGCAAGGGTGCAACACCTTTCCTGATTTGAACACCGATTGAACAACTGCCTCATGGTTCATGCACGGATTTCTCATGAGCATAATGAAGTGTTCAGGAATTTCTGTTTTCTGAAACGTGATCCATAATTTGTTATGCTCCACCAGTCAAATGCTTTTTCACACGTAATAAAACACAGATAAACATACTTCTTGTGTTCTTGGCTTTCAGCCCAGATCCATGTGGCACCAACAATGATATCCCTTGTTCCACATCCTTTTTTGAATCTACCTTGAATTTTTGGCAGTTTCCTGGTGTTGTTGTGCTGCAACTATTTTCGAATGATTTTCAGCAACGTTTACTAATGTATGATGTTAATGCTGTTGTTTGATATTTTCCACATTCTGTGTCCCCTTTTTTTTGGAATGGTCACTAATATGGATCACTTCCAGTCCATTTGGTCTTCCCGTTTTCTAGGCATAGATGAGTAAGTGCTTCTAATATTGCATCCATAAGTTGAAATATCTCAATTGGTACTCTGTCTATTCTGGGAGGCTTATTTGCATTAATCCTTTAGCTTAGTGTGGACTTCTTCCTTCATTACTGTCAGCTCTTCTTCATATGCTGCCTCCTGAAACGGTTGAACCCTGACCACTTCTTTTTGGTACAGTGCCTGTGCATTCCTTCCATCTTCACTTGATGATCTTGCATCATTTAACATTTTGCCCACAGAGCCAAGCCGTCAATATTGCCACTTGAGGCTTGGGTCTTGCTTCTAATTCTAGGCTTTTTAACATTTCGTTATAATACTTTATTTTGCCTTCTTGAGTTACCCTTTGAAATCTTTTGTTCAACTTTTTGTTTCATTATTTATTCCATTTACTGTAGCCAGTGTCCACTCAAGAGAATGTTTTAGAGTCTCTTCTGACACCATGTTGTTGTTTTCTCTCTTTCTTATCTTTTTAACCACCTTTTGCTTTCTTCACATCTGATATTCTTGATGCCATCCCACAGCTGTCAGATCTTCTGTCATTAGCATTCGGTGCAGCAAACTTGGTCTTGAGATGATTTCTAAAGTCAGGTAGGATATGTGTCAGCTGATGCATCAGCTCTTGCAGTCTTGTTTTAATTGCCATCAGCTTCAACTGGAACTTGCATGTGAACCACTGGCTTGTCTGTTCAACAGTCGGTCCCAGGTCTGTTCTAACTGATGATCTTAAGCTTCTTCATTGTCTCTTTCCGTGTATGTGGTCACTTTATTCCTATATATTCCATCTGGTGAGGTTGGTAAAAATCTTCAATTGCTTCATCTTTGTCATTTTAATTGAATACATTTGAGTAATAGCCATATCAACTGGTCTTCCTTGTGGACATTATTCTCTCACTGGCAGTACTGTGTTTCAGGATAGATCTTGAAATGCTCTTTTTGATGATGCATGCAATGCTGGTCCCCATCAATTTAACACTTCCAACAGAGTAGACCCATAATTGTGAGATTCAAACTGGTCCCTACCAATCCATTTCAGCATACTAATGCCTAGGCTATTGATGTTCATGCACTCTAATTAATTTTTTAACAACTCCCATCTTTTAGATTCATACTTTGTACTTTCACATTCTGATTATTAATGGATGTTTGCAGTTGTTTTTCATTTTGACTTATGGAACACCAGCAAACGAAAGTTCTAAAAGCTTCCCTCCACCCACGTCACTAAAGCCCACTCTTCTTCGAGGAGGGGCTCTTTCCCCTTCATACATTGAGTGCCTTCCAACCTGCTGGCATCGTCTGACCCCATGTCAGGCAACGGTTCTCTGCTATTCAGAAGGCATTCACTGGCCGATGTTTTTAGAAGTAGATTGCCAAGTTCTTATTTCTGCTCTGTCTGGAAACTCCACAGAAGGCCGTCCACTGTATTTGAAATGCTGCTGACACAGCTTGCAGCATCTCAGCAACACACAAGCCACCAAGGCACAGCGAACTGACTGACAAGTGGTAGTTTAGTGTACTAGTGGTGGTATAGTTAGTTCTTTAGTTATTAAAATTATTAGATCATGGAATATTTGCATAAATTTGCCCTTATTGTTTGTGTTGAAATTGTCCTGATTGGAAAAATTAACTCTTCACAAATATTCATATTGTGGTATGGTAGATATATATCTATGAAGAATTACAAATCACAAATGAAAAATTCCTTATAATTGCTAAAATATATGGCATAAATTAAACTTTGCAATTGTATCTAGAGATTGATAGCATGCAATACTGCATCCATCCTTCTCTCCTCAGCTAGTTGTTCAATACCTCCTGTAGGCTCTGTATAAGAGCTAGAGTGGGGAGGCATTGGCTGGTACCTGGAAGGTCAGCAGTTCAAACAAAGCAGCCTTTTCATGAGAGAGATGCAGCAGTCTGCTCCTGTACAGCTTTTACAGCTACAAGAAACCCAGGGGGCAATTCTTTTCTCTACCATAGTGGTCATAGGTCCCTCTGAGCTGGAGTTAATTCCAAGACAATGGATTTAGTTTCATGGTTAGTGTTACACAAATGAACAGGCCTCTCAGGACCTTACAGGTTTGCAGGCAGTATAAGATATTAAATAGGCAATCTTAAGATAGTTTTTGATGGTAGGAAGGTTAGGATTTGAGATGACCACTGAGAGGGATAATGTGTGTGTGTGTGTGTAATGCCAGAGAAGTGAAGTGATTTTATATATATATATACAAATCATTATATATATACAAATCATTATATATATAAATCATTATATATATATATATAAATCATTTTATTGGGGTTTTGCACAGCTCTCATCACAATCCATCCATCCGTCCATCCATCTACTGCATAAAGAACATTTGTACATTTGTTGCCATCATCATCTTCAAAACATTTTCTTTCTACTTGAGCCCTTGGTGTCAGCTTCTCATCTTTTTCCCTCCCTCTCCCACTCTCCCTCCCTCATGAACTCTTGATAATTTATAAATTATTATTATTTTTTCATGTCTTACACTGACCAATATTTCCCTTCACCCACTTTTCTGTTATCTGTCCCCCTGGGAGGGGGTTATATGTAGATCATTGTGATCAGTTCCCCCTTTCTCCTTCCACCTTCCCCTTCCCCTCCTGGTATTGCTACTCTCATTATTGGTCCTAAAGGGGGATAATCTATATTAAGGTACTATGTAACCCAGAACTCAGATTTCCTTTTTACTATTTCTTAATTCATAAGGTTAGCATATCTGACAGCTTATTAACTTTTGATATACAGAATGCCGTTGTGCTCATACGAAATGACAGACTGAATAGTTACGGCATTACAAGGATGTGATATTAGCCTAGACTTTAATTTACCAATTAAATCAAATGTCTGGGTGAATAAGGCATACTGTCTTTATGTATTTTTAATCACTGCACTCTTACTTGTTATGAATTCCCTTTATTTTCATCTCATTTAGTCATTTGCTCGGCGTGCCTTAGCTAAAATTGATGAGTTAAGACAACTGGAATTGTGTTCCTTACAATCACAGGAGGAATTGAGAAGAAATTATAGAGAGGCCGCAATAAAGGTATAAAACTTTCATGATAAAAAAGAAATGTACACTCCTCTTCAGTTGATTAACTATTTAATGTTCGTTGATGGGAAGCACACGCCATTGTTTCTTCACATATCTCTTCTTTCCGAGGCAGATGTCAGTGATGATCTTCAAAAGAGGCGTGTTTGAATCCAGAAGAAAGAACAAAGCTTTCTTTAGACCCAAACAAAGATTAAACCTAAGGGAAGCACAAACTGTAAGTCCCCAACACATCATCTCTGCCTAAGGCTGTTTCTGCGTGTATCTGCCTTGTACCTTCACCATCTGTAAGATCACTTCACTAAATATTAAATCCAGACCCTGATTCTGGACCACTCGGACAATGCAAAGGAGAGTGGGTCCCCACCTTAGACCTGGTCTCATTTCATCCTTTGCTCAGATGACACCAGTTTAGTAAATTTAAAAGGACAGGGGCCCAAGCCGAGCAAGGGAAAGCGTAAAGGCACACACTCATGCAAATGAACGAGCCTCTGGGTGGTCCTGCACAGGCCCTGCTTTTGTGTGTGCTGCCCGTTACCTTCGTTACCTTCGAAGGCGTTGAGCTTGAAAAGAAGGCCAAGGCACCTTTTCTCCTCAGCGGCAGGTTTCACCTTTGGGAGTGCTCAGGATTGCGGTTAGACCTCGGCGGAGGAGCTCCCTTGCATCTTGGTGGCTTAAAGAAACCCTGGCTTCTCTCTGGGTTGCATGGCATTGCAGTCACCAGGGAGACTGTCATGACAGGGACTCAGGGTTGCTTGGGAAGCGACCCTCATTCAGGCAGTGGCTGGCTGCCCGAAGAGGAAAACAGCCCCCAAAACAGGCCTGGAAGGATCTCATGGGGACAGTGAACAAAGTCCCCTCACCTGTCTAAGCGGGTCTCCTGGCCCCTCCCAACCACATGGGGGCATCAATTTGGAGGCAGGCCTACTGGCTCTCAGGAGGGAGTGGGAAATGGTTCTACCTTCGGGGAGTCTCCCCCCTTCTTTCTCTCTGGGACCACTGTGTTCCCCTTTGCCATCCTGGGTCTCAGTGTCCCTTCAAGGCCGGTTCTGAGTCTCTTTGAAGCTTTCCCGGCTGCCTGGGTGGCCGTCTGTAAGTGCTCTTCTGCGAGCTTCCAGGTTGGGACTACAAATGAGGTGAGGAGGGAGGGAGAGGGGCAGCTTGTGTCAGAGGAGCTGGAGGATCTCTGCACCTGGATGGGTCCTGGGAATCATCAGTCCCTTCTATTGCACACGCAGGGTCACAAAGCCACCTGCTGCCAGGACTGGAACCAGAACCCAGATGCCAGACACGGAATTCAGTGCTTCCCCCGCTACACTCCTAGCTGCTGTTTGCTTCCACCTGTCTTCTGATACCATTTAGGAGCATTTTTTTCTTTTAAACAAATTGTAATTTAAACAAAAGTATTATTTGATCATAGTAGCTTTTTATTGCTACTCACTGTGATGATTGTATATGTGCTGCTGAGTGGCTGCGACCATGAGCAGAGACCTAACAACAATTATGGGACGATGCAGGACTGTGGGGTTTCGAGTCAGAACTGGCTTGATGGCCCCTAGGAGCAGCAGCAGCAGCAGCTGTTGAAATCATAGATGTAATTGGTGGGTGTGCTAACGTCCCATCTTACAGGCCATTCCTTCACTGAGCTGTCACCTTACTTATTGACCCAGCTAAGCTCCCCAGACCAGGTTGTTAGGGGGAAATGGAGGATGATCACCTTGGATCCCCAAATGAAGGATGCCTACATCATTTCCTAACTGCCAAGTTACAGCTACACAGCTGCCAAACGACACAGGAGGGTGAGTCAAAGGCTGTGCCCCTAGGATTCCAGCTGACACACACATGGGTTGATTCCAAATAAGACGTGCGTAAACATGTCTCTGTGATTAGTGGATGGCTTCATACATATTCCCCCAGCAATACACAAGTTTTAGTCTCACTGGGGTGCCTTACAAAAAAAGGCCAATCAACGCAGTGGCTTCTGAAGGGCTCTCCTGGCCCCGTTCAATTCAAGGCAGAGCCATGGACTCTTTTCTGAAATATCTAAGGCAATGGTTCTCAACCTGTGGGTCGCGACCTCTTTCAGGGGGGCTGTGGGTGTATCGAATGACCCTTTCACAGGGGTCGCCCAATTCATAACAGTAGCAAAATGACAGTTAGGAAGTAGTAATGAAAACAATTTTATGGTTTGGGGTCAGCACAACACGAGGAACTGTATTAAAGGGTCGTGGCATTAGGCAGGTTGAGAACCACTGACCTAAGGAGTCATCCCGATAGATTTTCTCAAGGGACACAGAACAGTCACGGGCTTTGGGAGGATATTCCAAGAACAATTAAAATGGTATTGGTGAGCAAAAGGCCAGGGAGTTATGCTGAGGAATTTTTTTCCCATCAGGACCCTGTATCAGCTCATTCTTCCAGTGGAGCAAGGCCTGGCCCATGAGAAAGATTTTTCCTGGGAAACGCCACCCCATCCACCCCACAGCCCTGGTCTCGCCCCTTCAGATGGCTCTTTGTTGCCAAATTCAAAGGACATGTGAAGGGAACATGAGTTGTGAGTCCCTCGCGGATGCCCCCACAGCTGCTTGGATGGGGAGTAAGTCAACGAAGACAGAGTCCTCTGAGGAGAGGCTAGAGAGACGACGGACATTCCTCCTCCAAAAGTGTATAATGGAGGTTAGGAGATTTTTGTTTAGTAAAGGTTTCTATGATTTTTGTAGCAATACTTTTGGACTTACCCTTGAAACTGGCGAATTGCACCATGACATACCTGCTGAAAGAAATCATTCTAGAACCACTGAGAATCATGGCCCAGCCAAATTGACACATCACCCCAGTCATCACAGTCATGATTCCTCTTGCCTCGAAACTCAGCATTCATTATTGCCAGATGGACATCCCTGGTGCTTGAAACAGCCAGATAGAATTTTCTTACTATTGTTGTAAATGCCAAATGTCAGATAATGAGTTGATGGATCACCGAGGAGTAGGCCTAATTCTGTAGTCTTTGTAAGAGAGAAAGGGGCTTTTTTCTTTTCACACTAGAATTTCTTTTCTCCTCTGATCAAATAACATTTAAGTATCCAAAGCTGTAAGACCGGATAGCTGCTGTCTTAAAAAAGAGTATCAACCTAGAACTTAATTCACAGAAGAAATCAAATGTCTAGGAGAATTACACATATCATCTTGATACATTTTATTAGGAGTTGACTTTCTCTATTAGGAGTCATATTATTAGGATGTGATTTATAGCCATCTTATTTTCAAACTTATTTTTCTAAGAGATGTTCAACATGCATTAAATCTACTTTATGAAATACTTTTTTAGTTTGTGAATCACTTTAAGGATTGAGGTGCACCCAACTCAAGCCATGGTACTTTCCCCCGTCTCCTGTGTACCCAAAGAATTTCTGCCATTGAAATGCGGCCTTGGTGAGGAATATTGAATATACCGCGGATGGTCAGAAGAATGAACAGATCTGTACTACAACCAGAATGCTCCTTAGTGATGAAAGATGGTGCGACTTTGTTTCATGTACTTGAGACAGGTTGTCAGGAGAGACCAGTCCCTGGAGAATGACGTCATACTTGGTAAAGTAGCGGGTCAGCGAAGAAGAGGAGCACCGTCAACTAGGTGGATTGACACAGTGGGTTCACATGCGCCGATGATTGTGAGGATTGTGCAGCACTGGGCAACCTGAAAGCGCTTATGTACAAAAATTCTCAATTTCTAGATCTTTTAAGCATGTCCCGTCAGTTTTATTCATCCACTGTGCTGTTAAATATCTTTTTTACTTTCTGGAATATTTTAAAAAATGGATCACACTCTTTATTCCATCTGGTGTTTGCTATTTCATTCTTCCAATTATTAGAAAGTTTACTCTGCTGTTTAAATGCACACACACACACACACACACATATAAACCCAAGGTAAACGCTGACACACACACACACACACACACACACACACACACACACACACACTTTGACCCGAGGTAAACGCCATGGAGATGGACCTATCTAACCTCCTCTAGCTTCCCTATTGTGACGAGGCAGGAGTGAAACAGGCTTCCACACTCCACCTTTCTTCACCTAATCTGACACCTACCATTCTTCTCACCCTACTCATTATGCCGGTTTGATCATTTGTTGCAATGGCTACATATAACTCACAGACAGTATGTGCAATTAGGGGGGTTTATGAGGGAAGTTAATCGGTTACCACTAGTCAAGATCAGCAAACAGTAAGGACACAGTCATTAGTCTCAGCCATTACCCTGGTATCTCACTGGTCCTCAGCTTCTCAGCCCATGGCTCCTTGGCCTTTTCCTCCGTGGACCAGGAAGCCAGCCCACCCCTCCCTGTGCCCCACAGCTCCTGAACATGCACTTCCATGGCCCTCTGGGTTTCTCTCCTCTACTGTGGTTTCAAAGATGGTTTACCTGTATAGCCGGAGGGTGGTAATGAAAACTGACCAATCCTTGCTCTTAGTATTACATGCATCCTGTTTGCATAGTCCCATCCAGTCATTTGGTGGGAGTTACAGAGACTTAGGTAGAAGAGCCATATTAAGAAAGTTTACTCTGTCGCATTCACATAGAGCAGCAGCTCTCAAGCTATGGGTCGCGACCCCTTTGGGGGTCGAACGACCCTTTCACAGGGGTCGCCTGATTCATAAAAGTGCAAAATGAGAGTTATGAAGTAGCAACAGAAATAATTTTATGGTTGGGGGGGTCACCACAACATGAGTAGCATTAGGAAGGTTGAGAACCACTGACATAGAGTTCAAATCTTGCCAAAAAAAACAAACCCATAAGGAAAGAGAAGGCATGGTGTGAAGTTCTAGTTTCATTGAAGTTTTTCACATTTCAGTGAACCTGTAGGGGAGCTCGTGTTTGGGGAAATTAGTTCAAGTCACTGTTAGTATCTCTGCTTTGCTTTTCTGATTTGACCAATTAAAAGGGAAAAGAAGCATGGAGATTATAGGACAATGGCGGGTAGTTTTTGGTGGGATGTGGATTCTAGCAAAGTAAATAGAGTTACCTGTCTAAGTTACTGGCACTCTAAATACAGAGAAGTCATTTGTGCCATAGAGAATTAGGAATGGAGGCCTGCCATCTACAAGAGGTGTAAAAATCTGGACTAGTCAAAAACAGGGATGGGAACGCATGCAGGGTTCTAACAGTCTAATCTCACAGAAGAGCATTAGTATGTGTGCAGCTGGCCAGCCCTTCTTCAGAAGTAACCACTGCAAGCCTCGCTAGACTATCGATTTTGATGACTTTATTCAAATTTATTTTTAAAATGAATATTTCTAGTGTTTCAAATTTGGGTTTGAGGACCCAAATTAGATTTGTCTTCATTATGTATTTGAAATGTCCTCCCCAGACCCACTGAATCACTGGGGTTTCGACACTGGCAGTTAAAGAAAGCCCCCTGAGGGATTTTCATGCAACCGAAGTCTCACGATCACGAAGGCTGTAATCAAAGGTACCACACGGCAGTGGAGACTGGTGTTGACCCACTGCAGCTGACTCCGAGTCCCCTTATGTAGGAGTCCTGAGACTGACCAGAGGAGACAGCCTCATCTCTTCTGCTTTGGGAGCTGCTGGTGGGTTTGAACCACTGAGCTCTTGTGGTTAGCAGCCCAACCCATGACCCACAGAGCCACCAACGTGCCTTACACTAAGACAGTAGCAACCACTTTGTTACCTTGCCCACAGAAACATATAAGAAATAGTAAAATCTTTAGTTGTAATGACAGCAAGATGTAGATTTTCTGTATTTTGAAAGTTATGGTTAATTAGGAGTTAATACATATAACATTCCATAGTTCAATCACATCAAGCAGAAAATTGGACATTCGCTATCACAGTTTCTAAACATTCTTTTTCTTCTTGGACTCCTTGACATTGTCTCCCTTTTAACCCCCTCCACTATAAGCCGCCCCCCCCCCCAAACCCCAACCCAAACAAAACCCTTATTCTACTTGCTTTCCCTATAGGTTCATCAATCTTGGGTTTCATATACCAAAACGCAGAAAGATATAAGTATACAATTTCAAGAGGGTGACACCCAGTGATATAACACCTCTGAGATAAACCCTAATATGAGCAAACAAAAATAAGACATGTTGAAAACCAGATCAGGTCCACTGTGTATCAGAGGGCAGGAGCGGGGGTCGGAATCAACTGGCAACGTTTTAACTGTTCGTCTTGTTTATCCCTTTGATCTTCTATACTCATGTCTCCGACGCACTCTGTTTAGTAACCACTTTCCTCCGATCCCTCAATTACGGATAGCAAGAGGTCACAGGAAGCTTATTTCCTATGCAGTTCCCATAAATGCTCCTTGGGCTTCTGTCATCCCTAGCCTTCTGCAAACAGGATTCTCACAATTTAGGCTCTGACGCTAATCTCTCCTTCGACTTTGGATGATATGATTTACAATCTTTTGGTGACTGATGTTGGGGTGCTTCTTCCAAGTGGACTTAGTGGACATCTCACTTAGAGGGCTGCTTATTTGGAGACAAGCCTTTAAGACCTCAGACAATATTTTATCTGACAGGTAGGCACCATCTAATTTCTTTGTCATATTTTGTATAGCACCTGTATCTTCTGTGTTCCTTTCCTGAGGGTGAGTATTGAGCAGAGCCAAGATCTAAGAACTAATTGTTCTTAAGTTGGAGCTAGGATTTAATGCGAGCCCAAACCCATTCCTGGATCTATGTATTTTTGTTTGTTTTGTTTATTATCTGCCTATGACTCCCTTTCAAATCCTCCGTGTTAATTTATGGTAGAGAGTCTTGTCAATCATCCCTTTGGGGCATAAAACAATCTTCTGTTAATATTGTCTTTGAGTAGCCCCTCGTACTACTTAAAAAAAATATATATATATATTTTGGCACTACTTTTTTAAAGCCCTGTTGAGAGAGGGATATTGGGCCATGCAGTCTAACTTCATATCACAGTACCTGAAGTATTTATTCACTTGTACAGAATCAGTATTTTCGTGGCTGGGCATAATTTACACAAACAATGGGGGTTAATTGTCAGGGACATTTACAATAATAATCACTGAGAATGTCTGTCACAGATTTTCCAGAAATATATCTTTAAAAAAATTTTTTTTATTGGGGGGGGGGCTCTAACAAATTCTGTGACAATCCATCATTCAATTGTATTAAGCACACTTGTCCATATGTTGCCACCAACATGTCCAAGCATACAGCATAAAGGGCATTGATGTAGCAAGACCATGTTTGCCCACTTACCAGCAGTTTAACAATTTGGCACAGCTGCCTACCGCCTCCTCAGACACCATGCATTTTCCGACTTAAGTCCTCAGGTTCCAAGGGTGTCTGAGGTAGCTAGGCTTCTGGGTGCATCCTGGGGACCCAGGCCAGGTGCATGGAATGCTGGGCTACTGCATGCTGCATCTTCAAGGCACACCGCATGCTCCCAAGGCTGCATCAGTGAGATCCAAAGACATACGTTTTAAAGGGAGTCTGGAGAGATGCTTCATAAAATGAAATGTAGAAAAAGAAGCAGGTCTTCTTCTCTCTGCTTTACAGTAAGAAGTATTGGAGCACTTAAAACATGGACTCCTTTTTCTTTTTTAAAATCTAGCTGCCATGGCCACGTACCGTCACCGAACGGCTGTTGGAAGACATGTTCGATAGCACCGCGTCCCGGTTTCTGGCCGTTTTGGAAGCTCTTTCTGATTCAAATAGGCGGATACTGCAAACGGGACCTATTGCTTCAGATGAAGTAGAGATTCGGGATGTTGTCTCAGAGCTGTTTATAGCAGGCAAAGAACTTTTAGTAGGTAAATAAAGTGTTAAGAAAATATTTTGTGGTAGAACATGCATAACAAAAATGATAGCATGGCCATTTACATGCAAGAAACTAATGTTCTGTTCAATTTATATTCATCTGGAATTGCTATCTGAATTATAACTCAGATAATTACTCAGTATATCTTTTAGGGATTTATGTATATAACATCTGTGAATAATGATTGTTCTATCTTTCTAATGCTTAGTCTTTTTGTTTCATTTTCCTTGTATTGATTGCCTTATTTCTCAACTTGTTTATCTTACCCCTAGTGGTATAGTAGGAGCCCTGGTGGCATAGTGGTGACACATTGGGCTGCTAACCTCAAGGTCAGCAGTTCTAAACCATCAGCTTCTCCATGGGACAAAGACTGGGCTTTATACTCCATAAAGAATTATGGTCTTATAATCCCACAGGGGCAATTCTACCCTGTCCTATAGGGTCACTATGAGTTGACATTGACTTGCTGGTAGTGAGTCGGGGTGGTGGTGTGGTTCCACACTGGGCTGGCAATCTGTGAGATTTGTAACCATCAGGTACACTCTGCAAGAGAGATGGGGCTATCTACTCTGTTACAGAGTTACCATCTCAGAACTCCCAGGGGCAGCCCTCCCCTGTCCTATGGGGCTGCTGTGAGTCAGTGTCTACTTGGTGGCAGTGGATTTGGTTTGCTTTTTGGAAGACCTCTGATACAATGAAAAATGGAAGTGGTAATAGCAGATATCCTTATCTCATTCAAGATGTCAAATGGGATGCTTCCAAATGTTCACCATTATCTTGGATATTTGATCAAAGATTTTTATACATACCCTTTCACAGATTAAGGAAATTTCCTTTTGTTCTTCGATCTCTGAATGTTTTATTTTTTGTATGTTTGCTTAAAATCCTAAATGGCTATTGAATTTTATTAAAAGTCTTTTCTGGATTTTATTGCGATTCATTGAGTTGATCTTCTATCTCTTCTCCTATTTTTGTTAATGTGTTGAATCACATTGACTGCTTATTTTAGGACTACTGCATTTGGAGGTGAGATTTATTCTCTTGAAATATTACTAGATTTTGATCGCTAATGTCTAATATGTTTGCATTTCTGCCCATGAGAGATTTCCCTCTCTTTTATCTACTTTAAAAATTAGTTTATTGGGGGCTCTTACAGCGCTTTAAAAATTATTGGGGGGGCCTTTACAGCTCTTATAATATTCCATACATCAATTGTATCAAGCCTATTTGTGCATATGTTGCCATCATCATTTCCAAAACATTTTCTGCTTGAACCCTTGGTATAAACTCCTCTTTTCCCCCCTCCCTCCCCTCTCCTCCTTCCCTGGTGTATCCTTGGACAATTATATATTGTTATTTTGTATCTTATACTGTCCATTATCTCCATTCACCTATATTTCTGTTATTCATCCCCTTCAGGGTGTGTATGTACTATATATCCAATCTTCTGATGCATTACCCCTTTCTCACCCTTCTTCCTCCCTCACCATCCCTCTACCCTCATGGTATCACTACTCCCTTTACTGTTCCTGAGGGTTTTATCTGTCCTGAATTCCATGTGTCCAGAGCTTTTATCTGTACAATCTGTTCTCCAGTCTAGCCAGATTTGTAAGTTAGAACTGGGTCATGGTAGTGGAGGGGAGGAAGTATGCAGGAACTACAGGAATGATGTGTGATTTGCTAGTGCTATACTGCACCTTGGTTGAATCATCCCTTCCTTATATTGCTTCGGTGGGGGGCTATCCAATTACCTACAGATAGGCTTTGGGTCCCACTCCAACTCCCCTCTTTTGCATCAATATAGTTGTTTGTTTTGGATCTTTTGATACCTGATGCCTGATCCCGTCAACACTTCAAGCACACACAGGCTGGTGTGCTTCTTCCATGTGGGCTTATTTGCTTCCCTGCTAGATGGCCATATGTTTGATTTCAAACCTTTAAGACCACAGGCACTATATCTTTTGATAGTCGGACACCATCCGCTCTCTTCATCACATTTGCTTATGCACCCATTTTGTCTTCAGCAATCATGTTGAGGAGGTGAGTATAAGAGAGTGCCAGGTTGTCAGAATAAAGTGTTCTTGTGTTAAGGGAGGCCTTGAGTAGAGGCCCAAAGTCCTTTTGCTATCTTAATACTTATATAAATGTATGTACATTGGCTTCTATCCCTTTCATTATAGATATATATAGTTACATATACACATGCCTATCACTATACCTCTATAAATAGCTTTTGCCTCCTATTTCTTTCCTCTACTTCTTATCACCTTCCTCCTGTCCCACTATCATGCTCACTTTCCATTCGGCTCTCAGTATTTCCTCTCAGACACATTGTCCTCTCAGGCATTATGTTCTTTACTGGTTTTGTTCTCAGTGCATGTAGGCCTCAAAAATGAGCTGAGAAGGTACACCTTTTCCCCCTTAATTTTTGAGAATTGGTGTCAGATTGGCGTTATTTGTTCCTGTTTGGTTGAATTTATTGTTAAAGTCATCTGGACCTGGAGTCTTGTTTATGGAAATGCTTTAAATGATGAATTTAATTTATTCCCTATATAAGACTGTTCAGAATTTTTTTTCATTCTTCTTGCTACCTGGTTTGTAGTCTTCTATCAGTTTTAGGAAGTTTATTCTTTCTTGAAAATTTTCTACTTTATCCAATATTTTCACACTTTCAGGAAATTTTTCGTAGCATGTTATTTTGATCTTTTTCATCTCTGTGTGGTCAATCGTGGTGTCCTTGTTTCTGTTCCTGACATTGACTAGCTTGTCTTCTCTCTCATTTCATCGGTTTTCCTGAGGACGACCACCTTCACTAATCTCTTCAAAGGAGCAATGTTTGCCTTTGTTCACCCTCTCTAGTGAATGTTCATTTTCTATGTTATTAATTTCTGTTCTCTACTATTTTCTCCTGCTTCCATGGAATTATTTTACTTATTTTAAAAGACTTTTCTATTTGAAGCTTAGTTAATTGATTTTCAGACTTTCTTTTTTTATTTAATATATGCAGATGATGATATTTCTCTCTCAGTTTGTACCCGAAGTTTTGACATGTCCTATCTTCATTATCATTAGGTCAAACTATTTTCTAATTTTCATTGTGATTCTTCTTTCAATATTTGAGTTATAGATGAGACCAGATGGGGATTTTCTAATTGTTATGGAATTTTAGCATGATTATATTGTGAGTAAAAAGCATGTTCTGTGTTATTTGAAACTTTTACATTTTGTTGAGATTTGCTTTAAGGCCCAGCTTGTGGCCAGTTTTGATAAATAATCTGTAGGTATTTGAAAAGGCTATGCATTGTTTTGTTGTTGGAACTTTGATTTATATAGGTTGATTATGTTAAGTTTGTAAATCATACAGTTAAGTCTTCTCAACTGCTACAGATCTTCTTGATTGCTTGTTCTGGAAATCACTGAGAGAGAAGTGCTATTTTCTACTGTTTCTGCTGTTGTAGAAAAGCTGGAGCACAGGATGTGGTGTGCGCTGCTTTAGCACAGACTGTGTACCTGTGTGGCTGTAAAAATGGGGCAATGCCTGGGCCGTCTGACCTCCTCTAACGCCATAAGAGAGGAGGAGAATCAAGACAAACAGCCTAAGGCAGATTCCTTTGAGGCAGATGTCAGGCATGCCCCCATCCTTCAACCCTTTTCTTTCTTTTTAAAAAAATACTTTTATTGGGGGCTCTTACATCTCTTATCACAATCCATGCATTCCTCCAGTGTGTCAAGCACATTTGCACATATGCTGTCATCATCATTTTCAAAGCATTCTCTTCCCACTTGAGCCCTTGATATCAGCTCCCCATTTCTTTCCCCTTCCACCCCACCCTCCCTCATGAACCCTTGATAAGTTATAGATTATTTTTTCCATATATTACATTGTTCTCCTTTGCCCCTTACCCACTTTTCCGTTATTCGTCCCCCTGGGACGGGGTTCTAGATCAATCCTTGTGATCGATTCCCCCTTTCTCCCCCGACCTTCCCCTAATCTTCTTGATATCTCTACTCTCCTTGTTGGCCCTGAAGGGTTTATCTATCCTGCATTCCCTGTGTTTCGGGCTCTTATCTCTAGTTCTTTGGTGCTTCCTTCACCCCACTATCATGACCTCAATTCTACTTTACAAATTGGATTAGACCAGAGCAAACTTTTTCTTAATCAATTCTGACACCAATTGTTCTTCCCATGGTGTTCTGTACTTTTCTGCTTGCTTAGATAATTTGTTGCAAAGGTTACACACAAATCACAGAACAATACAATTATAATACTTATTAGGGAAGTAATACGTTACAATTTAGGGTCAGGAATCACTCAGGATACAGCTCTTCCATCAGGACAGCTACTCAGCTGTGTGTCTTACAAATATGCACCTCTTCCAGTCATTTAGCCAAGTTGCTGTCTTTCAGATTTCCTCGCATAGATAAGTAAATGCTTCATCAGCTTGTTGAAACATTTTCATTGGTATTCCATCAATTCCTGGATTTGCTTTTGGCTGATGCTTTCAGTGTAGCTTTGACTTCTTCCATCAGCACCATTGGTTCTTGCTTATATACTACCTCCTGATGGTGGAATTGTCAACTACTTCTTTTTGGTACCGCCACTCTTGTGTGTTCTTTCCATGTTTTCTTGGTGCTTCCTGCATCATGCAATATCTTTTCCACAGCATCTTTCAAGATTGCAACTTAAGGCTCGAACATTTTCTTTAGTTCTTTCAGTTTAAGAAAATAGGCTGAAATGTTCTTTCTCTTTGGATTTCTAACTGTAGATCTCTGCACATTTCATATATTTGACTTGTGTTCTTTAGCCCTTTGAAATTTTCTATTCAGCTCTTTGACTTTATCATTTCTTCCATTTGCTTTAGTTACTCTATGATTAAGAGCAACTTTCAGAATTTCTTCTGACATTCACTTTGATATTTTCTTTGTTTCCTGTTTTTTTAGAAATCATTTTATTAGCTCTTACAGATATTATTACAATCCATAATTCAATTAGATCAAGCAAAAGTGTACAATTGCTCCAACCTTCGGTTTAGAAACATTTTCTTTCTTCTTGAACTCTTCGATATCAGCTCCCCTTTATCCTCTTCTTCCCCCACCCTACCCTCCAGCACCTGTATTATTATAATATACATTATTTTTCCCATATCTTATATCATCCAAATTATCTGTTCACGTACAATTCTGTTGTTTCCCTCATGTGGGGTTATACAGTCATCATTGCTATCTGTTCCCAGCCCCCCACCATGCCCATCCCCACCCTTCCCATACCCTCAGGGAATCATTACTACTGTTACTGTTTCTGAAGCTTGTCTGACCCACCCACATGGGGGCAATTCAGGAGGGAAGTACAACAGACTAGCAATGGGAGAAAAGCAAAGAAGTCCCTGAGGAATCCTGATTGTAGACTTCTGACTATGGGGGCTGTGCTTGGTACCTCATCTGAACTGGTTGGGGTTTATTTTATTCACAAGGGAGCCACACTGAAAATCTAAAGGTGTAGCAGGGTGGGGTGGGGTGGGGCACTAGATCACACCATTGATGACTGCAGGAAGAGCAATAGGGACTT